ATCCTATATTTTGAATATTGCCTGAAAACAATGTGCTCTCTTTTGAAGCTTAAACTTCACTCAGTGAAGATTACTTCCTGAGTCTTAGTGTAAAGGGGGACCATACAGATGTTCAGGACAAAATCTTATAGACAAATCAGCATGCCAATTTTTTTATTGCACTTCCCAGTAAAACAAGGCGAGAGAGTACAATGGATGTAATGGTGATATCACCCATGTACTAAAATGCCTAAGTTTCTTGTTCAGTTTAATTTAAAAAATGCTGAAATGGCAAGACGTTATTCAGTAAAGCTCCTTCCATCTGAGTGTGGCAGTTGTTTTGTGTCTATTTTGATATATGTTTATTTCCCAGGAAGTAGTGGTCTGATTTCAGTTGTTTACAGGTGAAGTCTACAATGAAGCTTATTGTATGGTGGTCAAGAGATCTCAAAACTCTTTTTAACAAAAAATGGCAATTTTAATTATCCCAGTTACAAATGAGGAACTGAGGCTCAGTTGGTTAGGACAATTGTCAAGGTCTGTGGCAAAGACAGGAGCAGAACATAAGATTCCTGTCTGCCCTGTGCCCTTTCCCTGAAGGACAGTCCTTCTCATCTGAGTTTTGATTTGAGGGTTAATCAGAGATAGGGCTAAGATTTGAAATAGATTTAGTCAGTGACAACATCTTGAAGAGCAGTCTACTTATTTTGGCTACGTTGGCATTCCCCATTCTGTTTTCATAAAATCATACAACACTAGAATGGAAAGGCCCTCAAGAGACCCATCAAGTCCAGTTCATTGCCCTCATAGCAGGATCAAGCACCATCTAGATCATCTTCTGATAGATGTCTATCCAAACTGCTCTTAAATATCTCTGGTGATAGAGATTCCACAACATCCCTAGGCAATTTATTCTAGTGCTTAACCACTCTGACAGATAGGAAGTTTTTCCTAATGTCCAACCTAAACCTCCCTCACTGCAATTTAAGCTCATTACATAGGAATGGCCATACTGGGTCAGAGCAATGGTCCATCTAGCCCAATATCCTGTTTGCTGACAGCGGCCGATACCAGATGCCCCAGAGGGAGGGATCACAATAGGTAATCCTCACGTGATCCCTCCCCTGTCACTCATTTCCAGACAAATAGAGACTAGGGGCACCATTGCTGCTTCTCCTATCATCAGAGGCCAAAAACAATTTTTCTCCCTTTTTTAGATACTTCAAATCTAACCAGGATCCAAAACGTGTGTGTGTGTGACTGGTTTTCTGTTTTCAACTATAAATTTCTTGCTGAATTCTAAGGATTTTAGAAGGAAAAAAAAAAAAAAAAAAAAAACCCATCTCAACTAGCAAAGTGGAGTTTGGCTACAGATACATATATGGTAATAGGGGTTTTGTGCTGGTATTTTTTTTTTTAAATCAAACTCATAGATGTTTTCTAAACTCACAGCTGGAATTATATATTTTCCTCAATCATCCTTTTAAACTAACCTTTCCAATTCTGAGGGAATGTCTGGCTCTTACATTGTGCTATTTCAGACGAGTGACAGAAATAAGTCTCAAAGTTGGGAGCTTTGTCTCCAGCTGCCAGATGTTTAAATCTAGATACAGTCAGAAGAAGCACCCTAGCTAATCCCAGTTGTGACAGATATAAAGAGCTTTTTTTCTCAAGTAGCCAGAACTCAAGCAACATAAAACTTCAGTTCAACACTGAGAAGCTAAATTAAAAGCAGATACTAATAGGAAGTTAGTACACAATTTAAAAAATGATGTAATATGCTCCTCTCACGGTGCATTCAGTAACATTTGTTATTTCAAACATTATAGAAAAACTACCAAGTAAAATCTGTAGTTATATTACAATGCAAGTAATAAGTACTTTAATATTTGTGCTTTATAGCAAACAGCAATAGAGCAAAATATAGAAAAAACAGTCTGTAATTAATCTTTTCAGGTTTTGTGTGTGTTGTCATAGAAATATCATCCAATTTTTTTATATACACAGTAATCATTTCACCGAGTTTAGTTGCAAGTAGAATATTTGTTCAGCCAATTTATTTTTAACACTCCTTTACTTCTACATCTCTTCAATTTGATAGGATATCAATGTTAACTCTTTTTGACCATGAATGTATAATACTTTCCTTCCAACACATTTAGGTAAGCTCACTAAACTAGATTGCAAGTGGCATAAGTAACATTGTCTTTGTATTTTTTCCATGGGGAATTCTAAACTAAAATAAGTGAAGGTTAAGTACACTAAATAGCTGCTCTTTCATTCAAGACAAACAAAAATATGGAGTGGAATAGGTATTCTTCTGCAGCACCTTTCCAAAGATTCAGCATGTTCAAGGGTGTGGGAATCACTAAAATTGAAGGTCCTGAGAGAGCAACAAAGGCTAATAAAGTGGCATTGTAAACTAAAAGCATACAAACTAAATTAAATACTAAAGGTCAACATTACAATCTGCTAATGAACTAACATGAAGAAACTATTACCTTGTAACTTACATGATGGAGTTAACACTGCTTAAAGATGCATTTTAATTTACTGATTATTTCTGGGTGCCCAAGCTGACAGATTTATGGGACTCAGAAAGGTTAAAGATAGGAACTATGAGAAGTGCAAATTAATTCTAAAATCAAGACGTGAATGCTGGGCCATAATGGAAAAATAGACATATGACCTCTCTAAATGGTATAAAGCTCCCATTCATATCCCTGATTCATTTCCAAATTATGGAAATTTTAAAAATGCATTTATATATTGCAAACTCATCTCTTCTGCAATCTGAATCTTGTCTGATCTAAGCCTCTGGCAAGTGTGGGGTTTTTTTTGGGGGGGAGGGGGGGAAGCCGGGTGAGAAGGGACACTTTAGGTTCTTTGGAAATATAACTCTCTCTGGTCTCTCCCAAAATTAAATAAGGAACTTAATGAACTGTTTGCAATATATACTATATAGTTGATCATTCTTTACATACCCTGATTTTAATAGACAACCATCCTGTGCTCTACTGACAATGTTGGGCGACAGTCATGCTGCTATGTCACACTTTACATATCCAGGTCATCATTTGACTATATATACGACAGTCATGCTGCTATGTCACACTTTACATATACAGGTCATCATTTGACTATATATAATCCTATATGTTTAAAACAAATATTTATATTATATTATTTGTCGAGTCTTAAAATTAGATTATTTTAAAAGTCTTTTCTCACACATTAAAAACAAATATTTTTTAATCTGATAATTTATGCAATGCTAAGTATGAAGTAGTCAAGAGCACGAGGAAATGTGGATTTATTCAACATAATTTTTACCACTGTAAATGGCATTCTGTGATTATAACTTATTTTATTAAGTGTCCACATGCTTCAAACTACCATTGGGAACCTATTGGTGTTACATACATACATAGAAACAGCCAGTAAGGCTAGGTTGTAAATCTTCTGTTTTTGTGACAACAGTTGAGGTTTTCAATAAACAGTTATTCAAAAGTGACAGCTTGCCTTGAAAGTTTTTGACTTTTTTTATTGGAATACCATTTTTAAACTTTTTTTCCGTGAGAGTAAAAACAAGTCCAAAGAAACTCTTTTGGAGCAGGTCTAAGTAATAGAGCCTGTCCTGAAGATCTACTTTGTTCATTATGTTCTAGTATGATTAGATACCATTAATCTTGACTGAGAGATTAGTTTATTCTCAGCATTTTCTGAAAACTAACTATTGATAGGAGGAGGAGTAAAATACCAAAGATGTACATTATATTATCTCGTATCCAGAATTGTGGAACACTGAAAGTTCAGGCATTCTTACTAATAGCTGACCTAACCTACTCCTTCATTTACTAAGTGAGGATGACTTGAATATTTTTTTCTGTTACTCTGTCCAGTTGCACAATCACCATAACTGTTAAAAACTCTTTTTCCCTCCCCTAAGATCTCACTTAAACTTTTCCTTTCAGGCCACTGCTCCTTATCCTAACACCATCTGAAACCAAATATTTCCCTTCTTTCATTTATACTGTTACCTTGAATGGACTTGATTTATGTAATTTGTTGATTATGAAACCTTCTTTGTTGGATGGCTACCATGCTACACTAATTTGATTCCAATATTTTATACCAATTTAAAGTTACACTGTGGAGAAAAAGAATAATTGCATATGTATCATGGGAATTACCAATATTTACCATAAGTGCTACATAGGAGGAGAGGTTATGAGGAGAGGTTAAAGTGACTGGGACTTGTCAGTTTAGAAAAGAGGAGACTGAGGGGGGATATGATAGAGGTCTATAAAATCATGAGTGGTGTGGAAAGGGCAGATAAAGAAAAGTTATTTATTAGTTCCCATAATAGAAGAACTAGAGGACACCAAATGAAATTAATGGGTAGCAGGTTTAAAACTAATAAAAGGAAGTTCTTCTTCACACAGCGTGTTGTCAACCTGTGGAACTCCTTGCCAGAGGAGGATGTGAAGGCTAGGACTATAATAGAGTTTAAAGAGAAGCTGGATAAATTCATGGAGGTTAGGTCCATAAAAGGCTATTAGCCAGGGGATAAAATGGTGTCCTTGGCCTCTGTTTGTCAGAGGCTGGAGAGGGATGGCAGGAGACAAATCGCTTGATCATTGTCTTCGGTCCATCCTCTCTGGGGCACCTGGTGCTGGCCACTGTCGGCAGACAGGATACTGGGCTAGATGGACCTTTGGTCTGACCCAGTATGGTCGTTCTTATGTTCTTATAGGAAAAAAAAGGTGTTTAAAAGCAAAACCAAATAAAAAAAACCCACACAGCAAGTGTCACATGGTACTTAAAAATTAATAGTGCAGCTAGATGTTCAATAGAAATGGTGTGAGAGAGTGATTTGACATAGCAACCTCAGCTGTGTAATTTTAAACTGCAGCTTTGATATTACTCTGCTAGTGTGTTTAGTTAGCTGAAGCCTCTGTTTAAACATGCCTAAATAGATATATTCACCCAAATATATTTCTCTTTTTCTTTTCTTTTAGCTGATGGCTGCACTGACTGGTCTGTGGATTACAAGAAGTATCAAGTTCTAATGGGAGAGCCTGTTCGTATAAAATGTGCATTATTTTATGGCTACATCAGAGCAAATTACTCTCTAGCACAAAGTGCTGGCCTTAGTTTGATGTGGTACAAAAGCTCTGGACCTGGAGATTTTGAGGAACCTATAGCTTTTGATGGGACTAGAATGAGTAAAGAAGAGGATTCTATTTGGTTTCGGCCAACAGTTGTGCAAGACAGTGGTCTTTACGCATGTGTCATCAGGTACTTTATTTTAATTTTATCTGTATACAGTGAAACATACAATTATTGATCTTAGAACTGAACCTTCATGCTGCCATCCACAGCATATAACATGTTTGGTGATTTTTGCCTTATTTTTCCTGATTGTGAATGTTTTAGGATTAAATTAGGTTTTTCTTGAAAATAGTCAAGATCCAAAATTATTTGCTATATAGTTTTAGTTTGTACATTTATATTCAAAATGTATTAGTTTTCATTGGACACATAGGTCGTATTAAAGCTCCTTGTTTGGATATACCTCTGAAAATGAGATTTTTAGTGTGATTGTTTGTTTACAAATTCAGATTTTTGCAAAACAGTTTGCTAGCAACCTTTTCTCTAAAACATTTTCATTAAGTGAATAAATAGGTTAAAATGCAATTGAAGCAACCTCATTAAAATATTCATAGAATATGAACCTTTCTCTTACTGTTGCTGGCTCAGTCCAGCATTGGGAGCTTAGGATTATGGGTACATCCCAAAAGTACTGAGCACCAAGTAGGATCAAACCCTGGTGCCACAAAATCAAGCATAGAGTTATTTTTTATTTTAGAGATGAATGTTTTACTTATCTCTGCATCTCTGATGGGTCATACTGATTTATTGTCTCTAGCCCACAGAAAAAAAGAGACCATCTGGGAATCCACTTACCTTTTTTAAATTACCTGGCAATATAGAATTAATATGACAGATAAATTGAAAAGATACAAATTAAAAAAAAACCTGCTTGCAGAGGAGGAGCATGGTTTATTACTAAATATATTGTAACATTTGGTTATTTTTCGTTATAGAGAAACAGAGAACTGATAGCTCTGCAACTACATGTGAATGTAAAAAAGATAATTGAGTCTCCTATATGCTAGAAGGAAAATAATAAATTTATAAGCTACTGGGTAATTAGGAATTAAGTACACACTAAAAGTGTTGAGGTGTCCTAAAGAGATGTACACCACTATTTGCATATTACCAGATCCATTCAAGGTTTAGAGTTGTTTGTTTGCTTTGGTTTTGGCTCATAGCATATCCTTTTTTTTTTAAATGTTCACTATCCATGCCACTTTATATCTTCTGCTGCTCCATGCCCACATAGCCTCTCACAGTCTCCCGCTGCCTTTTCTTGGAGTTATCAGCACTTTTATATTCTTCTATATTTATTTCCCTTTAAAAAACAAAACAGACATAAATTAACTGATTCTCTTATTTAAGGGAGATATTTACTTAGGCTCCTATAAATTTAGTTTCAGATAACCATACATGGAGGCAGATGTCACGATTCATGAACAGTAATATCTGAGGTACTGCCATACTTTTCAATATAACGCAACACCATAAGGTAATCAGTGGTAAATGGACTGCTTAGATCATAAGAAATGCTACGTGATTGTCATGGAGAAGACTCACTGCCACGGTGCCTCCTGCTGGTAGCACTTATTTATACAGCCCTCAGCTGGGCCCTAATTAGCAGTATCTGCCTCAGCTGTGGGCTTTGTGCTCAGCCCTCTCTCAAGTCTGGGTTTTACCCTTAAAGTGTCTGTATAGGACAGATGCCCTGTCACACACACTCCACCTAAAGTATCTCTGGTGGGGGGTGGGAGGTAGGAAGGGAGGACAGAACCCTTATGTCCCAGCATCTCCCTCAACTGGTCACAAAGTGTCTCTCTCCTTCTCTAGGCTCTCCATCCTCTGGAGCAGCCTGATCCCCTCTCCAAGGGTTTGGGTTCCCACAGTGGTCCTCTCCTCTCTAGTGGGGGGTCTCTTTCCCACTCTGAGTCCCCACTGAAGCACCTCCTGCTCCTAGGTTGGTCCCCAGAATTATCTTGGTCTTCTCTACCTCAGACTTTCCCCTGCTTGAGGCTTTTGCCCTCATCACTCCCTCCTTTGGAGTAGCCTTGGCCTTGGTTCAGCTAGGCAAGTGGAACCACCCATGCCCTCCAATAAACATCCGTTTTTATCCTCTACCCACAGTTTCTCAAGTCTCTCAGTGTGGCCTGGTGGCCAGAGTCTGAAATAGAGCCCCCTTGGTCACAGAGTAGCACGGTCCAATGGCCAGAGTTCATAGCACAGACCATACATGCCCATATTCTCCATCATATGTCATGGGGTGGACTTACCACCACCGCACCTCCTGGTAGTAGCACTTAAGGCCTAGCTGGGAACTGTATAAATAACTGGCAGTATCTGCCTCAGCTGTGGGCATTGCTCTCGGCCTTCTTCCAGGACTGGCTTTTTCTCTTAAAGGGCCACTGTGGGGCAGACACCATGTCACAGTGATAAGCATTAGCCCCCCCTCCCCCCTGGAAAACTATTACTTGTTTGTATCCTAGAACACTTTAAAACTTTCAGATCAGGGACTCTCTGGTCAAGCAACATTTGTGGTCGAAAGTCTGGGGAGCCCAGGCTCCATGGTGCCCTGGCTGAGTAAGTGCCAACAGTAGCTGGGGATCTCTGGCCCTGGAGAGCCCTGGCAGCAGTGAGGCTGGCAGCAGGGTCCAGAGAGCCCTGCTGAGCCAGCAGGAGCAGGGCAAGTAGTAGGGCAGGGAGTCTTGGCCTGGAGGGGAGCCTGGGATCAGGGCCGGCTGCCAGCAGGGGAGCATTGGCTTCCCCTAGTCCAGCAGGACTGCTTAGATCCTGAGGATACTGGACCAGGAAGTCCAGTCTGTAGTCTATATTAATGCAACTTTTAAAACAGATTTTGTTTATGATTTTTAAGAATATCACCTAATTTGTTTGGGATAAAATGCTACTCCAAAAACATCCACAAACTCTGCTAGATATCAAAAAGAGTTTTGTGTGGTATGGAGAGAGGGCAGATAAATATGTGGGGGATTTTTTTAATCCTGAATCCTGCAAATTCTTGTTGTCAGGTATAATTACTATTACCATTAAAAACACTGGGACTACTTATTATAATATGCTGTACACCCAGTAGTAAGATTTTTTTTTTGACCATTAAAAACACTGGGACTACTTATTATAATAAGCTGTACACCCAGTAGTAAAATTTTTTTTGTAAGGTTTTGTAAGTTTGGATCCCAAAACTTAATATATGCAGAACATCAGTGACCTTATTAGAGAATGTAGTGTGAGGCAAAACAATAAAATACAACACAGTGATTACCCAGGGAAATATCTTAATGGTTCATATTTCCCTCTCCTATCTAGAATTCTCATATTATGAAGTAATGATCTGAACAATACAAGTTTATGAAAAATGTCTGAGATTTTGAGGTGAATCAGTGCAGAAAAATTCCATGTAGTTCTAACAATCCTTCCAAAGCTATCACTGTTGAAATAGCTAAGAAAACAGCACAACCATAACAGCCCCCTTACTGCCATCATCTCAGAAATTACTAGAACATTCTGTGCTTCTGTCTGGGAGGCAGAGTAAACTGTAGAATCTGCAGAGACCTATGTAGTCTTGTACGTAATTTTGGGCAAGAAAAACATTGGATTATGAGTAGTAATAGAGAGGTAGCCATGTTAGTCTGATCTTGCTAAAACAGAAGGAAAAACTTTAAAGACTAACAATATGATGTAATGACATCTGTTTGGTTGTATGTGTTTTAAGATTCTTCATTCTTGTTCAAAAGTTCACTGAAACAATTCCACAGTGATGCCAAGCCTGCTTTGGGGTCCATTAGCAGCTCAGTTAGGGCAAAAGGGATATGCAAAAATATACTCATAGTCACAGTGTGACTACTTGCACTGATTTGAGTGCCATATGGAGAAAGGAAAAACACTGTGCTAGAAATTGAACTTTTTGAAAAGTTTAAAGCAAATAAATCAACACTTTGAGTTCTAAATCTCAAACATGATGCTGGTAGAGAAATCACTTTTCTGATTACAATAAATGAGTTTACTTTAAGGAGTATTCACAACTCAGAAGGAGATCTTGACTTTGATGTCAAATTCTTTGCATGCTTAATCCTCCATGAGAACTTGTGTGTAAATCAAAAGGCAACTTGTCCACGCTCTATCAGATATTTTGCTTTGGCAGTACTTGAATAACATAAAAGGTGTCAGGCTCCTACTCCTAAACGAACAAGGAGCAATAGTCTCAAGCTACAGTGGGGGAGGTCTAGGTTGGATATTAGGAAAAGCTATTTCACTAGGATGCTGGTGAAGCACTGGAATGGGTTACCTAGGGAGGTGGTGGAATCTTCATCCCTAGAGGTTTTTAAGTCCCAGCTTGACAAAGCCCTGGCTGGGTTGATTTAGTTTGGGTTGGTTCTGCTTTGGGCAGGGGGCTGGACTTAATGACTCCTGAGGTCTCTTACAGTCCTATGATTCTATGAATGTCAGTATTAGTCCTAAGAGGTTTCTTCTTCCGACAATTGCTGGGGAGGAAAGAAGGGAGTCACTGAAAATAATTTTTTCATGGCCTCTGGAAGGAGAATGCCTCTTGTTAAAAGCAACAGAAGTATAGAACAAAACTGATGATTGACACATCCTTGGGCCCACACAGGGGCTAGTAGAACAGGAAGAACAGTTAAACAGGCAAAAAATGTAGGAGTATAGGATCTGTCGAAAAAGCTCCCTACTGTTGGCAGAACCGCAGCTACACAGAACTTTCACTTTCAAAATGGCACGTGATCAGCACAGCTAGAACTTTCACTTTCAAAATGGCACGTGATCGGCACAGCTCTGGAATGTGAGTATGGAAATGAAGCCCGGGATATTTAAATCCCGGGCTCATTTGCACTTTCAAAATGCTTTATTTGCATCCCTTTGCCGACAGAGAGATGCAGTCTGGAGGTAGCCTAAGTGGGAGTTGATTCTCTTCATTTAAGGAGCTAAAAAATGGTGCTTGTGTGCATGCATGCGCGCGCACATGCACACACACTCATACCCATCCTCCCACTCCCTTTTCCCATGCTTGCAACATCAGTCCTCTCCAGTTCCCTGTATTAGTCCTCAGCATTGTCCTTCAGTAAAACCTGGCAAACATACGAAACATACACATTAACATCAGAGGTCCAGTT